AAATACTGGTTCTAAACAAACAGACAATGGTTACTCTTTCTTACAATTTCCATGTCTGTGGTTTACTTAGTACGGTGTGGTTAGTGCTTTATATATTTGCATCTCTTTATATTTCTGTCACTATCTTACGTATTACCTTTGTATTCATTATAGTTGAGTCGTAACCTAAGTAGTATACGATTTTGTAAAATCATTTCACTTCTTAAATAATGAATTATAAATATAAACGTTTTTAAAGTTATAAAACAAGAAGCAGTATATAAACTGAACTAACCTGGTTAATTTTTGGCCTCAGCTTCTGAATGAGTAAGCTCTCGTTAATACGAAGATTTTGTTCATTATTTGCCCCTTTTTTTAGATCTCAGAATGGACGATTAGGTCACATTAACACAGGGCGTTCTTAAACTCTGCATGTTCGTTTACTTGCGGAAGCAGCTTCACTGTAATAGAACCGATCTAACTTTCTTTGCAACAAGGAAAAGTAAACTGATAAAATAACTTTATGAAAATATGAGATCTTTATATTTGAAGAAATGCTACCGACGACATCCTGGTTTTGAAATGCATTTTACTTGTACAAGCGGATTCACTTTACGAAATATAGTACGTAGTTGTTGTTTGATGCCCCATCCCAACCGGCGTGGTAAACCCAAGTATTTGACGAAAGCCCTCGTCAGCACTTGATATGACATATGTAGAGTGGTTGACATAGTATATTTTCGTTTTTTTTCACACATAGGTTCTTAGAGTTACGGATGTAGTTTTCTCCAGTTGACACCGTGGTTGCTAACAAACTCCAGGAACAACAAGACTAGCTGGCGAATGAGAGCAAAGTTAATTCAAATAAAATGATAATGATAAATATCCGGTGTTAAAAATAATAAAATAACATAAATAATTTTGTGTTATTAATTTGTATCCTATGTAAGTGACTTGAGTAAAAGTTATGATAATTGTAATTTACCTGGTTGATTTGGTTTACATCATAACAGTTGTTGTTCGTAAAAACTGATGATATATTTGTAGCGTGTAGATAACTACTATCTTTGTCGTGTCCCAGTATTAAGAGAAAGGCCTTTTCGGCACTGGATATGGCAGATGTAATGTGGTTGACATAATATATTTTCTACTTTGTTTTTACTCGTGGGTTCTAAGGAATACAAACATTTTTACCGATATATGGCAATGTTATACTTCTAACGCCCCTCGATGGGTAAGCGGTAAGTATACGGACTTACAATACAAAAATACTGGATTTGATTTCCCGGTGGACAGAATGCAGATAGTCCATTGTGTAACTTTGGGCTAAAACAACAACTCGTTTGTTTAAATATTCCCGAATTATTAGGTGAAACAAATATATAGAAAAACTCTATAACTTGTAAAATTCAAACAAAGGCCAGTAAGTGTTTTTATTGTAAATTTTACTTTCAAAGTTACCATCACAATTATCAACTAATATGAACAAAAATAAAGTATACAATCTTACTGATGTTCAACAGTAAATTTAATACTTTGATGCTGATCGGGGACCTTGAAAATAATAAAAGTGTAATCCACATATTTCCGATTATATAATGGATTAAAAAGCTTAGGGGAATTCATCCAACTATTGTTTTTCATGAACTAGAAAAGGAACCAGTTTGTCGTTGTAGCTTGGGGTTTTAGACTTCATGATCATATTGATTACTATTGAA